TTTTATTTTTTTACGCTTATTAATAAAACGTGTGTGGGATGAGGATGGGAACAGATAGGAACTGCAAATTTGTTGTTTCCATTCGTTCCCATCATGTGATTTTTTAATCCGCCAATCAGGGATCGGCACAAATTGGAACAGAACGGAAAACGAAACAGAATTGAACAGGCCTATTAGGGATGCTGTTTATCATATGCTAAATGTTGATAAAGAAATCAGCGAAAAGCAAGGAATGTAGCGCTTCAACACCGAAACCGATATTTCGATGTTCACGTTCCATACAAAGTGTTCTGTCCCAAATCGCAATTTGAAATAAGCCCATTTTATCTCGATGATGTTACGTTGCTTATTGGTGTGATAGGACAGAATAATTAGTATGAGAAAGTATTAACCTGTACCCATTTTTGTGTTACATATAGATTTCTTGTTATGGATTGGTATGGTACCTTTTAATTACCATTCTATTAAACTTTAACAAAAATTGATCTCGGAAGATAATAGTGCAATTTACAGTTTTATCATCTTTCGATACATCTTACAGTTGCCTCAAATAAATCTCACCGCTTCCTCTTTTTTTTTTACAATTTTAGTCTATTTCATTGTATTCTACTCGATATATGTCCTTACTGTACAACAAATACGGTGCAAACATGGCACCAGCACCCAATGATAGGTAATCACCCATTCTATGGATTGGAAACGAGTACATTCCATCTAGTAAATTCCCATGTCTGTAATGATTTACGATAAAACTTGGTTACTTGTCAATCTTATATATCCGAATTGCCAAAATAGACATAGTAATAGTTTATTATACTTACCGGTACAACAGTATTCGCAATAGTCAGCGTAGTTTCACTAACTTTATGACGCAATTCCGTCAGACAGTGGTAACTCTTTTGCATTATTCGGAATAAGAACGAAGCGTTATATAAGGTTAAGGCATTGTTGGTTATTACATTGACGTTGGTGTGCGGGAATTCGGATAGTGTTATGTATGCTGCATCGATATCTTCGCCGAAAGCCAAAAGCTGCTCTTTACGTGAGAGTATTATCTAGTAGATGAATATAATATGTGTGAGTGTGTGTGCATGTGAGTTTTTGCTTTCGGCTAGTGGTACAGGCAAACAAGTCTACTCACTGATGCACAGATATAAGCACACATGTCAATCTCGTCCACCGAAGCCAATAAAAAGTCAAATATTCTTGCTGCATCGTCTATGTGATTGATTGCGTCAGCGCACCATGTCATTATCCAACTCAGTGCAAAATGAGCCATCGGCATTATACCAATACTAACAAAAAAAAAGTATCGATAATGTTAACGATTGTTTACCTACACTATTATAGCTTATTGTACAAAATTTACCTCTCTAGATGGCGATATAATTTAACGTCTCTGACAGCCACTATATCTCGCACCGTTAGTAATCGTTCTAAAGCGGGTTCGAGTCCTGTCTGAAGCATGTCTCTCAACGGACCCAGTGCAAGATACTCTGCCACCATAATTGCATCATCTTTGCCAAGTGTTATGAGGAGGACGGAACAAACCATGTTAAATCCCTAATGTGCGTGAGAGAATGAATGACATCAACCTTTTAGCGTCCATAATAAATGATTTTCGATCATGGAGAAAGGTAATCATGATACAAACTTGGTAGTATCTAAGATCTGGATTTCTTTCTAGAACGGCCACTATGACATCATATAATTCCGACATGAATTTCTCCCTCTCATGATCACTGATGTCTGGAAGGCCAAGGAAAAGAATTAATATAAATCATGTATCAAGGCTGCCTGCATTGATTCTATCACAAATAATTACCGCTAGGGAGATGCTTTCTTGTTCTATTAACATCAACCAAGATTTGTTGACTCTCTTTCTCATCAATTGTTATACATTGTTCGTCTACGTTTGCTTTCTCATAATTAGTGTAATTACGCACTAACATGGGCCTATTTGTTAATAAATGTGTAAATTAGCGAATAGGTTATGAATTCATCCAGAGTCGTATAAAGAGTCATTCGAGATAAACAAATGACGTTTTAGTCAGGGCCTTTTTTTTTCACTAACCAGCATTTCTTTCTCAACTCCTTATTAACCAAGCCCAATTCTGTTTTAGCCAAGTACTTTATCGACTCGACATCGTTTCTATTTACAGCAATTTGGATAATGGATGCTTTTTTATTCATTGTTATATCTGTTTTCTACGACAAGAATATTTCAAAAGAAGAGCAATACGCTCGTCAACGCGGCCTATTTATTGCCCATTAGAATATAAGGCACACAAAGAAGAACGCCTCTAAAAATCTTTCAAAGAATGCATGTGATGATCGCGTCGATTAAGCTATTATGCATTAACAAAGGCATGTATTTTGGGAGGTGGCGATGGGCTGTACGATAGTTAATATGAAATTCACTAAATGGACCGATCATTGACGCCAAAAAGATGAATTGCGAATAGTTCAGAAAGAGGATCGGTATGAATTCTCTTGTGATTGATCGAGATGGAAGTGGGTGTGCATAAAGCATATAATGTACCAACTACATTAAGTTTTTTTTTTTCTTTTGGAGATGAAGCATGCATACCCGCCCATTGCTTAGCCAATCGACATAAACAATGCACTTACGCCATAAATTGACCAACCAGAGTGAAACAATGGTCATAGTCACATGCAGATGCCTGATTTATCAAGCGTAACTGGTGTTGATCTCAAAAGTTTTCAATTCTTGCATATTTTGTCTAAAAAGAGATCTATTCACTTAAACCTAACCTTACTATTGTTCGATTATGATTGGTCTCTCATTCTTTCTCCATGATTTGAAACATTCACTCCTAAATCATACGGAATTAGTCAAATGCGTTTTTATTTTGCTATTATTGCCATCGTATATTATGATTTGGACACTTTTTTTTTTACATGATAAACATTTAGAAAGCCTAATAATAGCACACTTTACTGAATGCAGTAACAAGTATAGCAACTCTTAAAATATGCAGTGGGATAATTTTATCTTTTTACTTTCCCAAGCCTGTTCCTTATATACTGTATGACGTGCGAATGTGGTTTTCAGGGCTTGTGTTACTGAATTTCTTCCAACCAGAATTTAGTTTTGTGACTTTTGCAGATTCCATTGACCAAACCCGTGCCATTGTCCATTGTCTCTATCAAACAGTCAGTATCAATAAGCATCAGCAGGGCCAGACATTCTATGTGTAACCAGAATTGACGACTCTTCTTGGATGCGAGGACTACAAACTCGTTCACAAGCTTAGATGGCATGATAAAACATTGCTTGTGAGAATATATCAAACTCGACTCGAAATAATAAGAAATACGCACACATATTCAAATTGCCGTTATTTATATGAAATTTGTTTATAACATTTCACTCGGTTCCATCGTTATCGATACGACTGATATTCGGAATATGTTTGCGACACAAATAACTAAATGGTTCTGTGATTGACAGCTGTATAATTATCTATTACAATAACACATATTAATTATATCGTGTGCGCTTGTATACTAATACTCGTTATCTGGGATCTTTTTTTTTTGTTTTGTATTCGATTACGCCAGGTGTTACACATCGATAAATTAATATGTACACATAACGAAATAACAAAAAATCAACAATTACTTTGCATTCTGATTGGGCGCGTGAAACACAAGCTTATCGGATAAACAATTCTTTAGTTATTCGTCAGGGAAAAAACCGTTCCGTACGTTGTCGTAATGTCAGTGTCGGTAATTACGCTGTCTCTCAAACATTATTTACAGTAGAGTCGTCAGCTATGGAAGATATGCCCCCCCTCTCAAAAAATTATTCAAGTCGTTACTGCGTAAAATGCTGCGCTTGACTTCATGTCATGTGAGCAAAATGGGGGTAACAAATGTGTTAATGATTACTGATCGTCCCTTATCTTTGCAATCAGCTATTGGCTTACAAACATGTCGATTATTAATATGCTAATATCAATGACGACGATCAATCAAAATTCCTCCAGTAATACTTTCCGATAATGATAATCATTGTAATAATAATATTGGTCATAACCGTGTTACATCCGATAACAGAAAATTTGCAACCCATACTTTGCCACATGATAGGGGAGATCTTATTTATTTATTCCCTTTTCTTTCACGTGCATAATTGTTTTGTGATTGTAATTCATACTAAAAACGCGATTATACTTCCATATATAATTAATATTATATATATTACACGCTTTCCGTTGCGAGTTTTCATTGGTGTTTTCATTAGTGTTTTCATTAGCGTTTTCATTAGTGTTATCGACTGTCCCATTTTTGGCAAAAGTTCTTTGCTCGAATTGAGCAAGAAGGGTATTTACAATTGTAGACAGTATGTATATACATGATTTCACAATCCCTTGGTATCGTTGGACGATGGTTTTGGAATCGTATCAAGTCACTCGACGATTGTTTATATCCTTAAGTTTGTGTCGCAATTTCCTTTGTACGCCTTTAACCAAAAAAACAAATCCACTAAACATGCTCCTTTACCATTACCATCACCGTTGATATTCGTAACGGTCCACTGGACACTGCATACCCATATTATACTTGTTATGTAACTGGGATAACGTAACGTCGACTTTTTTGGGTTCTGCATGTTATTTATTCCTCATGTGTTCATAGATGCACAGTGTCGATAGATTATAATCAAATAACGATAAAACAATGGGAAACGTCAAAGCCAAATGTCGTCATCGTGTATTGCTAGCACTAAGTAACAACGCGATGGAAACGGCAACTGTCTTGCGCCTCCCTTTTTTCTTTTTTTTTAATTTAGCAGATGTTCTGCAGAGGCCTAAACACCTTTGTTCCATTGCCAGAAATGTCTGCGGATTTTCATAATTTACACCAAATGTGTATGTGATGTCATTGATCGCACTACAAACATTGAGCTGCATTCTACCCGAGATGACGTAACTTTGCAGCAATTTAGAGTAAAATTTATAAACCCCCCCTTTTCTGCATCATAATTCACCAGGAAGATAGATGTTTCCCCCCAGCTTTATTGCAATCATCAATCACACGCAAACACGAAAAAAAATATAACCAAGTCGAGAAAAAAAAACCACTGCAAAGTACAATAGGAATAACAGATGAGGAAGAGAATATTAAAGTACCAATATTGGACAATATCATACAACTTAACAGCTGTTCAACAATAAACACCAAAATTTTACCCGACTAGACACGCTACGGGCCTTCTAAACACTCACATATCCACATACTATTGTATAGTTTCATTTGTACAATGTCCGTCAAAACTTTGCGAGACATAAACTCCTTCCCCGAGGGCATACTTCTCAAAATCTTTCATCATCTCCGTGATTTATCAAGGGACATTGCATCCATCTCTCTCACTTGCAAACGATGGCATGCGTGTGCAGTTATTGTCAACTATAGCTCGGTTTCATTCAACTCCCAGGACAAGTGGAATACTTTTGTCTCGTCCGGACTCTTAAACAAATACGCCCATCACATAGAATCAATTTTATTCTCTTTGATCGATTTATCATCGGATGACAAGGAATTGCTACTAAATTGTTGTACATCGTTGACATCTATTCAGCTGCTTAAATGTAAGAATTTAGATTCAGACTTCTTACGTGACTGGGTCAAGTCTAACAAAAAGACTCTACAAAGTCTCAGACTGTGGGGACCTAAACTATTTGCGAGTTCAGTAACTGCCGTTACAGACGATTTCCTCGCACCAGTTCTCGTACACTGTACTAACCTCAAAGAACTAAGAATAATAGGAGCCGGCATTACAGATGCATCTCTTCTTCGCATTGCCACTAGCCCTAATTCATGGCACGCATTGGAGTGGATTGATCTTGCTGGATGTTTGGCCGTGACTGGATTTGGCGTGGCTGAGCTGTTCTCACCCGGACATTTACCCGCTTTAAAGAATTTACGACTCGAATTTAATAATAAAAACGAGATGGACGTCGACTTTTTTGAATTTTTAGCGAACAGTTTTCCCAATTATAATTTCCATATTGTTGTCGCTTATTGGTACTATGAACCAAGGGCTGCAGCAAAATATGGAAATATGATGGAGCAGTTGGCAGCACTGAGTAGGAGGAAGAATAATGTATCCTTGGAGAGAAGATTAGGGAATACTACAACAGAAGAGTTTACTTTATATTCTGCAAATTCGTAGACTCGAACCGTTTTTTGTTACAAGTTTCTATTAAATTATTAGCTTTACTTAACAACAGGTAATGAGACATTAATTAATAATTTATATAATTTTATTATTAAACCCATTTTTATTCGCAATTTTTGGGCTGATTTATACAATGGAATGGAATTTACTCGAAAATACCAGATAATGGGCGTTTGTTATTTGCAGAAACTTTGCGCAAGGCGTAATCAGTGTAAGTAAAGTAATCAGTGCAACATCAGAATTTATTTAATTACGGCAGCATGATGGGAAAAGATAAATAGAGCTACAGAAGTATACCTGCAAAAAATGTACATATTATCAGTCACATGATATAAACAAAAGGGCATGGTGTGCAACAAAAATTTGCCCGTTTCTCATAATCTAGAATGGACAGGCAACGGTCCTCAATCATCAGATCATGGATAGACTGTTACCACAACATCTATCTATGTTAATGTTCTCTTTCGTGGCAATTGTTACACTGGCAGGTGACCATGGATATGGAAAGAACAGCTAATTTATCTCCCAAACTTGACTGAACGGAAGCTTCCGTCACTATTATATCACAAATCGCAAAACGGGTTCCATCCATTTACAACGGAACTGTATCAAAGTCCATGTCTATCTACTTGGCAAAAAATAGTCTACAAAGGGTTTTCAATTTGGGATCATTTGACGATGTTCCCAGATTGCGGCGGCGGTAGTGAAAAGTTGGACAGCGCATCAATGCAGGAAGCACATACGAGCCCTTGTTTGTGGTTACCAGATCGCATACCATCGAAATCATGAGAATGGAAAATTTGAACTGAAACAGACGTGTAACGTTTCTATGATTCATTCTTGGAAAGGTTTAGTGAAAATTCTATACTGCGATGAAGAACGAGATACAGATGTAGTTACAGATGTAGAAGTCGTTTGAAAGACAACAAAACCTACGAGTCTTTGCCCCCCCCCCCCCCCTTCACTCACACACACACTCTCTTTCCTATTCTTCCTCAAAAAACATATGACGTTCGATGATTTTACGATCAGATGTACAGATTTATTAGCTCTGAATCTGCGGTAAATATTAGACTATTCCTGTGAACGACATGAAGCTAGAGAAATCAAGACCAAATCCGAAAAGCGAAATATGCAGGCGTGGACTTGTGAATGTATTACCATGAACACCCTGTATGTTGGATTTTCACCGGCATGTAATCTCGATAGTTGACTTGGCACTTTGAGGCGACGCCGTTCTATTATCCATGAAAAGCTTGCATGCACGCAGTCTATGATCATGGTTGGGTGCCATTTTACCTTTGACGCTCAATACAACAAGACTTTTTTTTTGGCACATTTGCTCAATAACAATCTAGTCGAGCTTCAGGACTACGGTGATCGGTTCTTGCTCCGCCCCCCCTCCCCCAACGACTCAAACCTACGGGAAATCCTTGTGATACTGTTTCCAGACCGTCCCCCCCTTGTCATTATAGTACTAAAACGTTTTGATAACAACAAGTGTACCCGATCGTATAACAATCGGTGTAATAGTGTACTTACACACTGATGCCAAACGTAGTAAATAACTGACAAAATAAGACTAGACTATTGGTTAGCACCAAGACTACGGAAAGCCCAGAACCCAAGTCCTCTCGCGGACTAGAGTCTTGGACACAGATTTCGTAAGCGATTGCCATCGGAAGCAGCCAAAGTGTCAATAGCAATAGGCTGGAACGTCCCGACTTTCGATCTTACGAAACGGGTTACTAACAGATTAGCTGATAATATACTCACGTAGTCATATAGTCGTCTGATACCAAGTATTGAATGATTGATGTCTAATATAGTTAGTAATAAATACCATCAATGACGCATTCCCCTAAGGTAGAATCAACTCAACTTCTGTCATTGATTTTAATTATTGGACAGACTACCAGAGTTTGTGCAACTGGCCACAACCCTCGGTGATGATGTATGACAATGCTGCTTTCATAATCAAATACGTAATATTATGTAATTTTTGTGCTTTGTTTATCAGTGCATGCTGATAAGGCAAATTTGAAATATATAATTTAATATACTCATTTTTTACTGTGGCTTACAAACCTTTTTTGAAAAAGGGTTTCTTGTTATGACATAATCAAATCTGGGAACAAGCGGAAATGCATACTAGTAGTTAGCAGTTTTTATTAAGTACTTCATACATTAATATTTTATAGTGAACCGCAATTTCACTATAGCAAATCATGCGACATCACTGAAATAATAATTCCCTAATTGTGTTTATCAATTCATTTATCTTAAAAATGGTGAAGACTAGCTCGTTCAGGCTCTCGCCGAATAGCTAGCTCAGATTTCGATAATCTTGCCACATTCTGATAAACTGTATCGATTGATATACTGAGACTCTATATTACGTATTGCTTCACATTTCGCTACTCATCTCCCCCTATTCACCAATCCATTACATCTTCATCAGTAATATATATGTGTTAAATTATTTGGCAATCGTTTGAGCAGCCTTTTCTCAAGTGAATAAAGGCAGCCTTCATTTGCTGTACTTTTCGGAAATTCTTTGCATAATTATATGTGCCGCGCACTATCAACCAGCAATAAAAATTTTATTTTGTTTTTTCCGGAATCCGTTCATTCTCCCGACAATCACTTCCCCGACAGCTCATTTCCCCGACAGTTTATTTCCCCGATAATTATTTCCCTGACAATCGTCGGGGAACTAAACTGTCGGGGAAGTAAATGTTGGGGAACTAAACTGTCGGGGAAGTAATTGTCGGGGAAATAAACTAGACTCCTTTTTTCCAATCTTTGTCAAGCTAAAGAAGAATGTTGTTAAAATGTCAACTTGCGACTCGTTCCTGTAATAATGAATAGGTAAATTTTGCGTTACCCGGGGTTTTTTGACAATAAATTAAGAATTGTAACGCGACCGTATATTTTTTTATAGTCTAAAATTTTAGTACGAGCAAACTTTATCTTCAAAAAGAGGCTAGTTCCGTCGCTATTCCATATGTCTTCAGCATACGGTGCACTTGCTTATTTCCGGATTAACAAAGTCCATTGCAAAATAAATTGGTTGTTTTTTTACGATATTTCTGTAATATTTTGCTGTGCCTTATTAATTCAACGATTAACAGCAGTTTTAAACTGCAGCCACTTAATGCGCGAAATTTCTTCACGTCATTGTAGTTGCAAGTCAACGTTCTTACTCGTTTAGAATTTTTTTTTGCATTATATGTTGTTGATTCGTTATTTATTTGTTTTTTTTTACTTGACATATTGTCTATCAAATAGCTTTGGTAATGTTGAGACCTATTCTGGGCCCGTTCTGAGAATGGGTCAATTCAGTTCAAGATTGTCACATTATTTCGATGCTATTACATAAATATTGGGCCAAGAGATTAATCTAATGTGATGTTGTATCTTATTTGGGAAACCTGTCCGGTTCTGGACTGAGTGTCTGGCTTCAGAATTGAGACAGGTTCCAAACTCAGGCACAACAGCCATAATACAGCGTGGAATTTGTTTTACAAATGTGGCATGCCATCTGTTTACTTTCCGCATCAGATAAAGTAATTTAGCTAAGTTTTTGTTTTTTGGCCTGTACGTTATTAATTTTTACGTCAAATATAATATTTGTTAATAGCATAACATTTACAGGAGTTTGCAAAAACAAAGAAAGAAAACTATCAAACTTTTGTCGTTTGTCTAAAAAATAAATACAATTATTTGTGTGTCAAAATTGCCGTCTTTAACACATGCATTGGTTGTTTGTAAAAAGAGGCAAAATGCACACACAAAAATTTCTGGGAGAAGTGAGAGCTAATGTACAATAAAAAAATTAAAGGAAAAGAGGCACAGGAGACAGAAAATTAGAATCGGAACAAGAGAACCAGAACGGCAAAAAAACAACAGATTAACCAAAAAGAAAAGAAGAAAAAAAAAGTAAGAGACGAAATTTCCCGGTAATAAGGCATATTATGTTTAAGCTTTCAAATTACATATCAAATATCGTGCGGCATTTGAAATAATGTCAAAAATAAGCAAACATAAATTTGTCAATGTTAACATTTGGAATTACGCAACTGTTTTCGTATTGCTGTATATCGACAAATTTAATAAACAATTGGCGTGCACCCTCCGTATTTTCTACACACGTATAAATTCCAAGTCCCAGACATAGATATAATCATTTTCGGCTTATATTGGTTATGTAACATTTCGTCACGTAGTATGTTAATGATAATTCTGGCACAAACGCGTGTAATTTGACAATAAACTTGTACTTTTTGAAATATTGCATATTTCTGTTATATTTACATGCTATATAATAAATTGGTGTAATACCCCATTACTCGAATGTTAATTATACAGCAAGTTACTTATCGTTGGCATTCTTAAGGTGTTAAACCGTGGCTATAAATCCAATTATCATAAAATCAGCGGCAGTAGCCATATTTTAGAACAAGCATCAAGCTGGTTACGCATTTTCCATACTGTCATCGTCGGCGTTTCCGTCTGTCAAAGGCTTTGATAACTTTTCCCGAACATCCTCATTATAATCAAAGCAAAAATACGTAACTACCAAACCGATTACCATGAAAATAGTGGTAATAGCAATGAGTGGTCCAAGAAACTCGTTTGCATTGTTTGGATCCTTTCCGCCCACGTCACGAAGTTTGCTAAATCCTATCTGCGATATTACAGCGCCCAATTTACCAATTGCGGCGCTGACACCAAATGCTGTAGCACGGTATTCCGTTGGAAACAGCTCGGCAGACATAATAAAGGTAATGCTGTTGGGCCCAAAGTTTTGGAAAAACTAATTGAAAAAAGAAAAAATAAAGTAATAATTAAGTTGTATGATAGAATTTATTTCTCACCTTTTTATTTTATCATGCTTATCATTACCTGGATTAACACAAACATGGCGATAAATCCGGCTCTATTGTTCACAATCTCCTTATATGCACAACCAAAAATAAGCAGTAAAACTGCAGACATAGCAAATCCAATATACATAATTCGTATCCTGCCCACATTTTTGTTATCTATAAGCGCTATGGTCATCAAATACCCAGGAATAGTGCCCATCATGGTAATAAAAACATTACCAATGCTGGCGTTCAACAGTTGGGTGTAAGCGCCGGCGCTCGTTTTGCTGACATCAAACCCAATTTCCTTGAGAATTGTTGCGTTGTTTAGGCCGATTCCATAAAAGGATATATCGACACAAAACCACGCAATAGCCGTCCCAATTAAATATTTTAAATATTTTCTATTCCCTCTTTTACTGAAAAACCTGTAAAACTCGGTCAAGCTTATCCCATGTATATTTTCTTGATCTGGATCTATCTCTTGCTGATTATTTTGGGTTCCCTGTCTGTTTTCCCTTGCTTGTTTGCGTTTGTTGTGGATGTACAATTGATAAAGTGGCGTTTCGGAGATGGTCAGACGAAAGAAGAGAGCCACTAAACCAGGAATAGCCCCGAAACCAAGAACAAGACGCCAGACATAGTCTAGGCTATTCGGGTTTTTATCGATTGATGAACGAAACGCCGCAAGCATAGATGTAGAGACCAAGGCCGCACAAAGAATTCCGAAACCCTGCTGGGCAAAAACCACCGCCATCAATTTTCCTCTATGTCCTGAATCAGAGAAATACTCGGCCGTAACAACTAGGAACATAATTATTATTTAGAAAAAAAAATTAAATAAATTGAGTTAAAATGTATGCTAGAAGAACTTACCTGCACTAAGTGGATAATCGCCGCCCACGCCAATACCCAGGATAAATCGGTAAAAAATTAGACTACCGATTATTGACACCGTTGGACTATCACCAACTAATACAGAACTTATTGTTGCTCCTATGGAAACCATGAGCTCTAAGCCATACATCTATTTCCAAAATTATGGTTAGAATAAAAAAAAAGTTTGTTTTCTTGCTTTTTTTTTTTCCCGTAAGACACAACAGAGATAATCGAACATGTACCCTTTTCCTTCCATATCGATCCGCCAAAGACCCAAATAGCAATTGGCCGAAAATAGCTCCAATTTGGGCGCTCACTTTCAAACCCAATTCTTCATTTTCGGTAAGTTCGTTCTGCTTTGAACGATAGACATACGCGAGCATTAGGCTCACAAGATTCATGGCAAATAAATCGTATGCCGTCATGAAAAAGCCAGCCCCGGTAACTAAGCACGCCCGAAAGTCTCTCCACGTCCATTCCGTAGAGGTAGTAGTAGAGCTTTGCCCATTGTTAGAGCCGGAATTTTCTCCATTATCAGCGTAGACAACTATATCTTTTTCTGACATCTTGTGAGGTCGCAAGTGTAATTATACGATTGCTGTCGTTTTTTCGCTTTTTTTCTTTTCCTTTTTACTCTGCAGATTACAATGAGCATTCTTCGGCAATCATTATAACATTACTTTATAAGAAATACGCATGAAAATGGAACATTCTCTTGATGCGAATTTTGAGAACAAGGACTTATTATTAATACAAATTAGGATTGTATACAAAGGGTAAAACTTTAAACCTATGATATATTGTTTTATGTAAGAACATCATCAAATTATACTGCCACGGTAAAATTTCACGTATGTGTTACTACGACTGTCATACCAGGGTCGAACTTCTTTTCCAATCATTCTTGTACTACCATCGTATAGACAATGCATGTTATCCATTACTTAACATGCACGAGATTCCAGGAAATGTTGATACTTGGCATTACACGAACGTTATTTCTAACCAATAGAACAATTGTTTAAAGCATGCTTTACCCTTCGCAACATTTGTTCGTCGATTGTGCAGTAGCGGAACGGTAAGTTCGATAAGCCGAGAGCTGAATCAACTTCCAAACTTGATGTTTTGCTTAAATGTTGTTATTCTCCCATTTCCATCTACGATGCCAAGCGTTATACGGTAGAATCATCTAATATACATAAACTGAACAATATGTTTTTTCAAAAATGCGATTGTTTGTCAACAGAAAGTTTCATTATTATCAATTACGCGAGAAAACTAGCTAAAACACTTACTCGTCTGAGATTAAACCACCGGTAAAAAAAACCCCTTGGTAATTTACCATACCACATTACGTAGATAATTTACCATACCACAATACGTGAAAATGTTTATTCAGTCGTCGGAACCGCAGCACTCAGGGAGTGTGTTCACCGTTAATGTCATGCTTGGTTATTGTAGGGAAAAAAACGCTTTTTGTCTACATACAGGGTGAAACAGAAATTGGCGACGTGGACAGAATGAATGCATTCGAGCAACTTGTAGATATCAATGCAAACGCAATTAGGTTACACGGTAGATCATCGGAGAATATATATCAAAAAGGAAAACGTTATGAATGCAAAGAGAGGTCTAATTGATCAGTTGCAGAAAGCCCGTGGTCTATTGTGTGTTTAGTTGAAGACTAACAAAGAATCAGCTTTAGCGATTGAAAAAACTGTCGAACGGTATTAAATCCAACTTTTTACTTGAACATTCTAGTTAAAATTCTGGGAGGCAGAGGCATTGCAAATCTGGCGACATGCGAACAACCGCAAACTGCTGAACGGCTTGCGCTTTCTCATAATTACTTACCCTGACGTCTTTTTCATTAAATAAAACGAATAATCCGATGCTGATGAAGATGAGTCAACTGTGCGTGTTGATCTGGTCACAATTTATGACGGTCAATAAACACAATTTGTAGATAATCATATAACAAATGATTGTCATTCAATTTTACAAGTAAAATATTTTGCAATATTAATGTGTTACTGTGCAACATTGTCCTGCATAACTGGTATCACACGCACGTTAACCCGGTTGATGTATTACACCGGTCTATCTGGTAACCACGAAAAAAAGAGAGAGAGATATATATATATATATAAAGAGAACAAACTAGTATATCCGGTTTAAACAAAATTTACGCATAATGCTTAAGTTTGCCTTGAATCTAAAGCAAGGTGAGTGTTTTAACCAGTTTTCTAGCCAATAATAACAAAATTTTTGGTTGACAATCAACCGGACTTGAGACACGCTGTCTCCGTTCATATAACGTCAGCTGAAGTTTAGTAACGCAAACGTAATTAAATGAAATTCTGCAAGAAATCTAGTTTGGAAGTTAATTCAAGGTATTGTGTAAACAGGTTAATAAACAAGTCGGTCATGGGTGCTTATCGAACGTACATGTGTACTACTATCCCTATTGCAATTCAACGGAGCGAAGAGTGAAACATGCTTCGGGATGATCATTTTATTGGTTAGAGTAACCTCATGTAACACAGAGTCGATTCTAGTTTAAGAAATCCCCATGTTAGTGTGCTATGACTATCGATGAATACAGAATCTTTTCTTTAGGCGTTTGTTCTCTCATTGTTATTCTTGTGGCTGGACTATATGACACGCCATGACGATTATATCGCGTTGAAACAGAAATATCTCACCAAAGCGGTAAATGATTGAACTTTGTCTATCTCCATCCTACTAGGAAATACATTAAACACCGACATAACAATGACAATTTAGAACTTTGTATGCAGTGATCCTAATTTGCATTAATAATAAGTTTAACACATGTTTTGATTACAGAAATTTTGTAGTGGTCCAATAGATACACCACCCCGTTTTCATGCGCATTGCTTATAAAATGATGCTATAAGAAAGCACCTGCCAACAAAACAAAAGGAAAATCACTGTTACACTCACATCCCAATTTATCGGTGGAAAACCCTTTACAAGCCTCATAGCTATAACCCTCCATCGCTATAGATACTTCTCGAGCAAGTGCGTTAGAATTGATGGACCAGAATAGTAATGGGTTTTTCGTTCGGCTATGCTTGGTTACGGGAGCAGGTTTCCTCACGGCAGCATACGATTTATTTGCAATTAATCTCGTGAGCCTGATGCTCGGATACGTATATTACAAAGAACAAAAGGAACTTCCTGTAAACACAGATTTGTGTTTGAAAATTAGCGGGCAGGTCGGCGCAATCGTCGGTCAGATACTTTTCGGGTATTTAGCGGATCATTATGGTCGGCGCAAGGTATAGATTTTCGCCCGTCCCGAATTAGGGGGAAAAAGGACGGACTTTTCTTTTTTGTTTTTAAAAATATAATGTCGAAATACTTAATTCCAACTAAATTTCTGGGAAATAGATGTATGGTGTGGAACTAATGCTCACTATAGGAGCAACAATAAGTTCGACGTTAGTCGGTAATAGTCCAAAAGTGTCAATTATCGGTAGTCTGATTTTTTATCGACTTATTCTTGGTATTGGGGCCGGCGGCAATTATCCACTCAGTGCAGGTAAATTTTCCTCACATGACCATTAATTATTTGGTGTTTTCCTAAACCATTAGTATTATTCCACTAGTTATCACGGCCGAGTTTCTCCCAGCAAGAAAGAGAGGAAGATGGATGGCAGGAGTCTTTGCCCAACAGGGCCTGGGAATTCTTCTTGCGGCTGTGGTCTCTATTGTCATGCTCGGTGCATACCGTTCTTCTATCGAGGCAAATGAGGATAACTTAGATTCCGTATGGCGTCTTGTTCTTGGTTTTGGAGCCATTCCAGCTTTATTTGCACTCTTCTTTCGTCTCACTATTCCCGAAACGCCCGTTTATGAGATAGATGTCAGCGGAAACTCTGGACAGGCTGCCCTCGATATAGATCAAATAGAGGACACAAACACACGAGAGACAGTCTTGACCGAGTTTCGCAGCTTTTTCAGTCAAAATAGAGAATATTTAAAATATTTAATTGGGACGTGTGTTACATGGTTTTGCATCGACATCTCCTTTTATGGCATTGGACTGAACAACGCGGCAATTTTCAACGAAATTGGATTTGACGTCAGTAAAACGAACGACAGCGCTTATACCCGACTGTTGAACGCCAGCATTGGTAATGTTATTATTACCTTGATGGGCACTATTCCTGGATATTTGATGACCATAGCACTTATAGATTATAGAAGAGTAGGCAGGATAAGGATTATGTATATCGGATTTGCTGCGTCCACAATTTTATTGCTTACTTTCGGTCTGACATATAAGAATATTGTGAACAATAGAGCCGCGTTTATCGTCATGTTTATTTTGATTCAGGTAATTATGGGCATAACAAAGTTGAGCATGATGTTAGAATTTTATTATTATATAACTTAATTATCTCTTTTCTTTTCAATTAGTTTTTCCAAAACTTTGGACCCAACAGTATTACATTTATCATATCCGCCGAGTTGTTTCCAACAAAGATTCGCGCTACAGCATATGGTATAAGCGCAGCAGCCGGTAAACTGGGTGCTGTGATATCGCAAATTGGATTTAGCAAACTTCGTGATGTTGGCGGAAAGGATCCAAACAATGCAAACGAGTTTCTTGGACCACTTATCACTACTTCCGCTATTTTCATGGTTATTGGTCTGACAGTTACGTATTTTTGCTTTAGTAATAAGGATGCTCAGAGAAAGTTATCAGGGCCTTTGACAGACGAAAACGACGGCAGCGAACAGACGGACAGTGAATGATGCGTAACAAACTTGATGCTTGTTTTAGAATATGGTATCGCTCAAGTCTATTTATTTTATTACAACTGTAATTGATTCAGTAATAAGCAGAGCTTATACGACTTGTAAATATAATATTGCAATACAATAAAAATAAACCTAGATATAACAGAATGTGACTATAGCAAAGATTTTCCCATGTTCTAGATCCTTGTCTAATGAAATTTCCTGGATAATGAAATTAATTAGAAAACCCGGTTATTTGCTTAACGAACTTATACATCGTCAGATTAAATAATACTGTAACTTCGTTTGATCTTCTCGTTTTTGGGTAAATCGTGACTATAATTTATGCTGATGTACTTTAACCAATGTCATTGCTCTGCTTAAGGAAATTTTCAAACTAAAGAGCTACTTTTGACATTCGATGCGTAAATTTGCATACAATAAAGATTTTGTTTGAACAAGCGTCTCAACGTTGCTTCCAGTCATATTCAAATTTGCAGTAATAGCAAAGTGTTACGGAAAATTATATAGAAATTTCTCACGAAGATAAAACGAAAACCTGAATATTAACATAACGACCACTTCGTTATATTTTATTGTCAAGTCACACGTGATTGTGCTAGCTAGAATTATTATGTAAGTATGCTTACTATTACGTAATTACAGTTATATTATACCGGAAATGTACTGTATTAGTATATTAATATTAATATACCAGAATCTCTTTATACCGGGGACACAGCCGAGTAGACAAGAATTTATTAGAAATCGAATCGAAAACATACTCGAGAAGAATATATTGTATCGCATCAGCAGAGTACAGTACACGAAAAAAGTTTTTGAAATAGAATGCAAAACTACATTTTCTTCCGAAATACGCGATTAATCATAAGAGAACTTAACACGTTCTATTATGAATATAACGCCAACAAAACTCGATCACATGACTTTTCGACTTTGTTTCTTTACTAAAAATACAATGGAAGCATTGATCGATCTATATCTATGGGCAAAATGTACATACGTGAAGATTCAAAAGTTTTGACACAAGACATAGGACTGTGTTTACATAATAACGATTTCATTCCTTCAAATTAATCTCTATCAGCCTTTTTACGCCAACTCCAAAAGTACTCTTCTTGCAATATGTTATCAGCTATTAAATTGATAGCACGAATAAGTTCTTAAATTCTCTCAAACCATTTTCCACACCAGGTTTTTGAACTCGCGTGTCACAACATTGTCTACATAATAATTACTCGTCCTTCTCTATCACGATACTTGCTATAATACCGTCTACTGGCAAAACATACATTTTTACCGAGTCAAATTTTATTGTGCTTCTCTTATCGATTATTTAGCAAAAAGCGAAACATTAATCGTGTCCCATTCCCAGTGATAATGTTTTGAAAAACCATAACTGAAACCTCACATTTTCTTGACGGAAAGTTCATAATTGCAATACTTTCAGTTGAGATAGAAATACTCTCAATGCTGACGTGGGATCATTACTTATAAAATTTTAACAATGTCCAGAACGTCGAGCTTGATCAATCCAGCAGTAAATAGTACATTGAATAGCGCTTTAGTCCTTTCAGCAATGACTAACTTTTTACGAATTTTAGTCCAACCCTTTACTGTTTTTCAGCACACTCGGATATAGTAAATTATCATCACGGGTCGTTTGAGTGTAACTCAAGCTTTCATATGATTATTTGCACTCGGTGTCAAAACTTTTTGAACCCTTTCACGTGAGTCAATTTGTATCCCGTCTCTACAAACGCATGTTTAAAAGCATTATGTTCATAGTAATAGCATTTTGTCAAAAATGGTAATACAATAAGTCATTCAGTAGCAAAAAATAGAATGTTTTCGTCAATAAGAATGCCATTCCTGCTTTTTTCACTTTTATGCGCTAATACTTTACATTAGCAAGTCTTTTTTTGATATTAAAACCCGAACAGAGGATTTATGTCCAGAGACAAACAAATATCTTTGTGTTAGCGAAATAATTCCTAATTTCCGTTCCTCTTAAAATTGGGTTATTTCATCTACTTCTGCTTTCATTACGTACAGAAATCGTACTGGGTGTGCATGTGTGGGTCCCCAAATTGTTAATAAAGGAGAGACGTGGAGTAATCAAAAAAAAAGCTTCTTCGTTTGCTTCATCCGTAACAAGTCGGCTTGAATGCTATGACAAAAAAAGAGGGTCTCGCACGTCAAAGTGCAATGAAATAGGGGTGATCCCGCAAATGCTAAAAACCCAGGCGTGGAAAAAAGTTCATGAGGCAATCAGGGTGAGAATAAGAATACTATAATGGCTAATGTTGAAATAAACATTCAACTGCTTCTGGTTACACTACCTGCTAATAAGAGCTCAGAATAATGGAAAGTTGCAAAATAATTAGAAACCCTGTAAACCCCCAGATTAAGATAGTTTGACTATATGATTATGTTTAAATTGGGACAATGATAAAGTATACAGATTTAATATATGTGTGTGTTGTGCGTTGTGCGTGCTTTGTGCGTGCGTTGTGCGTGCGTTGTGCGTGTGTGCCAGGAGATTGGTCACACACATCTTTATAATAGATTTTTCCAAACATAGTTAATCTCATCGATATATAGCTAATTTCGTCATATCAGATATCATTATCGCCATGTCAATAAGAGCTGAAGAAGAACAAACCGAATGATTGGAAACCAAAAAAGTTTGTAGCAAACAAGATAGTACATGTGACTTGTATGGGTCTTATCGTCTCATGTAAATTCGGAAATTCCTGCCATCAACGGCATACTCCGCTTTTTTTTTTTGCAAACATCTATTTTTACTTGTCAAAAACGGATGTTCCTTATCAAAGTTGAAAATCTGTTATCACGCCCACTGTGCGCTTGTGATTGATCCCGTGGCCCATGATCGCCTATCTTATCATTGATTAAAAACTTGATGATTATCACCTGTAGATAAATTATTTGGTGTAAGCCAGCCCGCATGCAAATTTTAATATTTAACTAGTCACTGTTCCAAAAAGCTCGACGTTTCAAAAAAAAGTTTCCGTCCAACGAAGCCGGGGGGAAAATTTTTTTATACACAGAACATTTATCGCATCTAACCAATTATTACTACTGTACACCAATAATATATATATATTAATTCTCTTATTTCTAATAGCATGGCAACTACTCTTCCCGATTTATGCCTTCATAGAATATTCGATTTCATCAGTTTGGACCAAGAGACACACGCATCTACTCTTCACTCTTCAGTCTTGGTAAACCGTCACTGGTGTCATTCTCTAATCTCCCTCCTCTGGAAAGACCCGTTCGGGCTCGCAATTAATGCAACCTCAAGAAAACGTCTCATCAAGTCATACATATCTTTTCTACCGAACGATGAACAACAAACCTTTTATACCCTCATTACATGCAACGACCACCTACAATCCAACAAGAACAATGCGCCTAGCTTTGATTACTTTGCATTCCTTCGTACATTCTCTGTGACTGCTATAATGGAGGCAGTAAACCTGATTGCGAATGACAATTGGACTCCAATGAGTTATCGATACATTGTAAAGACATTGAGTCGGCAATTCATGACTCGATCGCCGGTCATTCTCAACACGGAATTGTCGCTCGGAGGACTGGGTGCTCTTGAAAAGTGGGACGGTCAATTATGGATGTTGCGAGGGTTGGACATTTTCGCACTATCGAACACTAATAATGATGATGATGATAATAATAATAATAATAATAATAATAATAATAACTCGTTCAGAAATCTGCGGACACTCAAACTCAACGGTAAATTCCTTCCGGACGTGTTGGTGTCGGCTGCAAAAGTTGCCAGAAATATCGAGGAACTGGATGTGGGATTCGATGGATTCGACGAAGAAGATGACATTAACAGATGGTTGCAGCCATTGTCGCAGTTGATTAGAGCTCAAAAGAAATTGCGTTCGTTTTCGCTTAATATCGGTCAATGTGACGTCCGTGCTCTTGCACAGGTGTTTACTGCACTGCAGGGCTGCGCCAAGAGTTTGTTGTCTGTCAGGATGGTTAATGTTGATTTCCAAGGATATCCTATACTAGATGCTCTCTCGAAATGCGGCAATCTATCATCCTTGGTGTTTGACGGGTGTGCAAACCTGCCCGAAACATTGAACATTAACGAATGTGCCGGTGCCTTTTATAAATTGAAAAATTTAGAGTTGACTCGCATGTTGGTTCCTTCCTCTATGCTACAATCTCTTTTATCTCAATCCAACGGTGCTATCCACACCATAATCTTCTCCGGTCTTATTTCTGGTGACCTTATGCTCACCAATTTCTTCGATTTACTTGCAACGTTCTGCCCCAATCTTCATAAATTGAGCGTGTTTGTTCGTCACGAATCCATTTACAATCTACTATCACATCTTGGATCATGGCCTCAATTGGAGCAATTGGAAATCAATGGTGGGATTTGCATATCCAATGTGTATACCGAAGTGGACGATTTGATGCCTTTGTTTGGGAAGGCGGTTCCTTCTACATTGCAGAGGTTGGAAATAAGGATAAACTGGGAATTTTCTCCTGAAGCGTTGAGGGGATTCTTTGAAAATTGTACTGCTTCATTAGAACATTTGAATTTAGAGTGGTGTAAGCTGAGCGATGAGCATATCGATCAGATAGTCAAACATTGTAATGGGAGGTTAAAGTATTTGAATATCGAGAATGCGGTCGATGTTACTTGGGATGGATACAAGAAGGCAATAGATAATATCAAAGTGGTCAGATTATCATCAAAAACGCGAACTATGTAATATTTCTTTATTTGCCACCGTAAAAGGGTTTTTTATTGTGGAGTGTACATAATATTGTTTCTCTTTTTCTGTATATTATTACCAAATATATTATGTTCCCTGTCTTTAATCAAAACGTATTCGCTTTTATAATGTGCTATTCATTGGTTCGTGACACAGAATAACGCCTCAATAGACAGAAAAATGCACAAATTTGGGGGGAAGAACCTTATCATGGCAAGACAAAAAGACCCCGTTTATCGCATTTATTTTGATGGGCTGCCAATACTCACATTGCATTTCGAGCATATTACAGGTTAAAATATTTCTGTGTGTCCGCAAGCTGTACCAATAACCGGACAATCGAACAATCTTTTTTGGATATGCGTAACGTGTGTCTTGGTTCGGATGTTACACGTTAGGATAATATGATATGCAGAATTTTGAATTCTATGCCAACGAATCAAAGTGAAGCGAACACGATTAAGTTGACGAGATAAACGACAATAAGAGTTTCCCACACATGCACTAAAAGGCTTGTTACCATATATATAATAGTTGGCCTCGAGAAGGGGTAAGATCAACGATGCAACGGTTTCCTTATAACTTAAACTGTTGCATATCTACAGGGCGTTTGATCAATGGGATGGGCTGTAATTAATATTAATTCCATCAAAGTCATTGTGTTATGTGTGACATCATTCCTTTAAAAATGAGTCTTAAAGCGTGCAAATTGTACATTCTCATTCCAACCATGGTTCTGTGAATGCAGTGACAGAAAAAACTCACAGCATCATCATCTTCATGTCATAAGTTTTTAAACCTGGTCCACCAGGACTCATTCACTCCTTCCAATTTACCGTCTTGCCATTACACCGCTATAGGCGTATTGTGAATAATAACTAAAATAACAAGAGCATAATCCGCACACATACAACAACTCTCCCTACCATTTGTATAGAACTTTTCCGAAATACTTATAAATATTCCGCGACAATCTCATGGCAACTCGTTCGAGAGCATTACACAGGTTATTGCTAAGACCGATATTTAGCTTAATCCTGATATTCGTCTTTTTTACGGCAGTGCTTCATTACTTTATTGAACCTTCAAACGAAGATCTATCTATAACGACGGAAGAGCCATCTGCGACCGCGGAAGAGCCAGGGATAGACAACGATGTATACGATAACCCACCTACATTTGACGCCTGCGATGTTGGATGCAGCGACAATGATGAAAAATTCATCACATACTTACCACATAGTCAATTCAATAATCAACGCATTGAATTAGAAAATGCCATTCTTGTGGCATACTTCACTAATCGTACTCTCATCGTGCCTCCCCTCGTACTCGGACATATCAGCGCGTGGTCGACGTTCGATAAGCTCTACTCATTCCTATCTGTAAGGCTACACAAGAACAACTGCGATCCAAACGATTTAGACACAAGGCGAAGAGGGATGCATCGCACACCACACTGTAGTACCTGGACTATGCTTAATTGGCAAGAAGTATATAACCTGACGGCAATCCAACAAGAAGAACGCATACGGATGATTACGGCACCAACCTTTAAGGTCGAGTGGATAAAAAAATCACTGAAACTCACAGATGACGATATCAAATACTTCAAAGACGATACCTTGTATAGCATGATGGTGTACGATGATCCCCAGAGCATCACTCCACTCGGAAAATATCAACAACGTGCCGATATCTCAGACTTCAAGTCAATTCCACAAAAACTCATATACTTTAATAGTTTGTTTGGTGGTTCCCGTGTCCTAACTGAACTCGAAGAACATCAAAACTTCCGTCGTCGCATATTACGCCACTTTGTTTTCATCTACCCAAAGGTCATGTCCACTGCCAACAAGATCATTGCAGCATTGGGTGGTGCGAAATCGTACATCGGCATTCACGTTCGAGTATCCGATGGACCTTTCAAAAGGGGTGCTCCGCAAATAGTCGAGTCTATTGTGAGAAACCTATCCAATCTCAACTCGACATTTGATGAAGCAGGCTCGTTGCGATCGAGGAAATGTCAGCACGATTCTGGTCCAATAAACGATAAGGTAATCTACATGGCAACAGACATAGCCAATTCAAGGCGGACGAAAGAGTATGACCTATTATACAAAAACTTCCCGTGTATACTGACGCTATCAGACTTTGATCCGTTACTGGAGGACTTGACTTCGATAGTAAATAAATGGGATAACATGAAGATGTATAAATTCCTTCTTCCATTCGTTGATGTGATAGTGTCTGCAAAGGGAGGCGCGTTCGTTGGAACCAGTCATAGTACGTTTACTAGATACGCAAGACAATTGAATAAAATGTTCTTACTTGATGAAATAAAATAATTAATAATTTAATTGCCAGCAATTATCAAACTGATTATCATGTGCTGACGGCGGTGGTGGTTGTGGTTGTGGTGGTTGTGATAGTGTTGGACTGAGATATCCCAGTTTATATATTTGCAAGACTGGATTGAGAGAGTCCTGTGAAATGTTACGGTTGTTAGTATAAACCTTACTAGAATATACTGCTTTGGAGTATTTGCTTACAAGGTTTGAACGCGTAGATTTCTCCTTGTGGTCGCATTGAAAGGAATGGCATTAAATTAATGTCAAATATGTTATTGACAACTTGTAGCAGCGTAGCGGTGGCGACCGCAGAAAAGAATAAAACACCAGACGTTATATAACGTCGTAGACAGTATATCAAACAATAATGTTGCCTGATGCCTCATACGAAGAACGTTTGGGTTTGCAAATTACTTCGTCAATGTGATTCCATAATGAGTTGGCACATGTAATGCTCGTCCTCTATTCAATGAGCGGAAGCGGCTCGCGCTACGTAGTTCCAAAGTTCAGTTACGACAATCCGTCCATTCTGTGGTGACAATACTTTTATATTATTTGATTAGAGGGCTCGCTCCTCTTGAGTTATGCGCTAAAGTGGCTATCAAGTGAATGGAATGCGTTTTGGTGAGCTTGGGACGGAATAATTTATAGAAATTCCTGAAACTTATCATTATTATTGTTTGTAATCGACTAAAAATTTGATGATCCCTTAGTACTAGCGGCTAAAATCTACCGTTATTTCCGCTAATAGTCCCAAATAAATAAAATAGAGTATTTATCCACCACTTTACCGCGACCTTGAATAATCCGGCTGTAATAGTAGCGTTCGAGAAGGTTATTGGCCATAGGCATAACTCATACTTATCTGAAATTTTCCGCTGCTACACGGATGGAAATTATTGATGGAAGTATTAATTGCTGACAGTAATATTTACCTTTGCTTCGCTCACCGTTTTTTAAATGACAATTTGACATATTGCTAAATACTTGTAATTTTCACAATTATTTAGAAGAGGAAGAACAAAGTGCTGCAGCTGTCCCCACACTTCAGTAGAGCATCATCAAAGTCTCGAGCTTTTACATGTGAATAAAATAATACACATGAAAGGCCGGCATCGGATGAAAGGCATGTCACTATTTAGTTGTGAAACATATTTGACTGCTTATATGGCAGACTTGTGTGCATCTTTCAATAATCCCGAACCATGACATAATCTCTGCTCGACTGTTACCTTGCAACGCATAAATACAAAAATTGAATTGCTTGAGCGATCGTTAGCACCAATCATGTTTTGTTTTTTTCTCGCATATTATTATCGTCATTTATTCCCAGTAGCCGTTTTTTCCTGATGACGAATTAGCATCAACCCACGTAGATGCCGACCTGATAATTGACGAGTGTACAGCTATAACGTACCATTCGTTGTCTCACATATCACAACGTCTATCTTGCGT